ATAAAAAAACAATAAATATATATTAACTTGTGTCTTAAAATGCAAATGTTAAAAGAACAATTAATTTAAATCCAATTTAAAGGTTTATTAGTAAGATTGTCCCTCGGTAAAAGAGGCCATCATGCACAATATTGGGATGATGGCCTACTCATTCCAAAGCCAAAAATCACAACAACCCATGAAAGAACCAAATTTGAACAACCCTTCTAATCTATTTTGCATTAAAAGAATAGAATGCATGTATGCATGCACATGCTTACCCTCTTTACTCTCGTCAAAATTTTTTATTCCCCCACTTGCCAAGCTGCAACATCGAAGGCTTCCACTTACAATGGATTACCCTAATTTAAGGATTCATATTAAGTTATTTAAGATGATGGCACGACAATTACTTGTATATTTTGCAACCAAGTCCATTATATTTAAGCAAAAAAAAAAAAAAAGACTAATTTTGTGCGCATTTTATTTAAATTTGCTTTTTTCGGAATATTTAGGTTGTTAATTAACGTGTGCATGGCTCAAAAAAGTGGCCCAAAGGTGATATATGTTTGTCCATATATGGTCAGAATGTCCTTGCCAGTTTCTGTGAAACTCAAAACTAATTATCTCTTTATAAGTGGTGTTAATGGTACATTTTTACATCAACCTATTACATTTAAAGAAATTAAATTTTTTTAAGTATTAGTTTTAAAATTTAAATTTTAGATTTAGCTTATAAAATGACATTTATTTACAAGTGAACGTGGATCAGCACTTGAGGTTAATTCCTTTAATAAACAAATTATATGAGATATCTTATTACACACACAAATCTTATACAAAATCATAGTTATTCTCTTTATATTATAAATTATTAAAATTTATTATGACTTTTTAGATAAATTTTTTTTCTAAAAAAAGATAAAAAGTAGATAAATTTTAATTATTTATTGTGAAAAAATAAATAGTTAGAATTTTATGTTAAAGTTTTGTGTAAAACTTATGTAGAAATTGATCCTTACTCCAACATATATAGACAACATTAATTAAGAAGCATCAAATTAATCTAAAATTCTCTCAAAATCCAACATATATGGTATTTACCATCTGGGTTACTAAACCTTCATCTCTCAAGAATCGTGGAGAATGTATGTATCTTACCAAGTGAGTTATAAGTTATATTATATCTATACTTTGATTTATTATGGTATATAAAATAATTAGAAACATGAATTGCAATTCACTTTACATAAATGGGGTAAATGGGGACAATGATTGATACATCCTCCTTCGATTCAATACATTGCATAATACACTTTGATTTAACCATTAAAATTTGCCTTAGAAAATTTTTCCCCCAAGAATTCAAATTTGAAAATAATAATTTTTTAATGAGTGTATTGTAAAGTATATTGAATTGGATGATGTATCAATCATTTTCCTAGTTCTTATCATCATTAATGAAGGAATGAGCTCCTTGATGTTAAGGTCCATCTCTTTATAAATGATTAAAAATAATTCATTCGTCACATGGACGGCAAAACCACTTTGAGTATTTTAAAATACCCACCCCGCCTGTTACGATCTCAATTCCCCAATACAAGTAGTGTAGGACGCATGAGCTGCCTCCTTGTCAGCATCGCATCGTAGATGATGAATCAATACTACAGAGATATTTACAGTGACGAAAGATGTTTATGATTTCAAAGGGAGGTGTTATGTATTTAATGTTCATTCTGATTGCCACCATAGCACATTTCCTTGCTAAAATCTTGATTTCCTAAACTACAATACCGCTGGCAATTTGCATTAATTCCACATTCCCATTTTTGGAAATTTCAATCTGTTGCCTCTAATTCTCAAGCAAAATCTTGGTCTATTCACAAAAATCCTTGCCATAGATCGTTGGATTAATAAACTACTTTTTATATTGCTTTCCAGCACACTCTTGGCTTGCCCTCTCAAGTTTCAACTAGTAGTGTTTTTTTCGATGAATAGTTTTAACTACTAGTATAAATGTATACGTAATCAAGTTGAATTCAATCGTAGAGTACGTTAAGCTTGAGCTAGACTCAATTAAGTTCAACTTGGTTATGCTAGACTTAGGTTGATTAGCTCAATTAATTCTCACTTTATTAATTAGTTTTGCAATTTAGATTGTGTGAATACTACAAAATCATGACTACTAGATAGAGAGAGAATGTCTGTTTTTTCGATAAAAAACGGAAAGAGATGACTCTTTTATCATTAAATTGTAATGTTAGTTAATATTGCAATTTAATTGATTAAAAAATATTTACCTATTTCCTTCATTTTCCTCAAATTCAAGCATATCTTTGAGGCCTGTTTAGTACAAAATAAAAGGAGGAAAGGTTGAATGGACCAATCAAATTAAGATGTTAACCCAACAACTCAATTTGATACATTGGTCAAAATAGTCTTCACCCCCCTCCCATGTCCTTCTCTCAAACCAAATGAATCTTTTATCTCATCTCAGTTTGTCTCAAACTTGAACATATGATCCTCAATAATATTTCAAACTAGAAGTAAAGTCAATTTGTAATTGATTCCTAGTTTAGACTTTGATCGATATAGTTATTTAATTACAATTAATAATTAATAATTGATATATTATAGTTGATGATGGTTATAAATAATCCAAAAACACCAATGCATCCAATTAGAGGTCAACAATTAATAACTATTATTCCATAACAATTAAGACAAACAAGTTTAAATGTACGCAAACTTGATTACTTAATTACCACAAGTTAAATAAGTAACTACTGAAGATCAAATCAAAATATCAGATAATTGGCCCTACACTCAGGTGGCTAGTCACTCATGAAGATCCCCATATCCCATAACTAATACATCAAATATATATTCCATGTACTTTCATATAAATCTTCAATTCAATTGATGTACTTCTCAACCTTATTCAAGTCTCATTTCATTATAATTAAAATGGCACATGAATTGGTAAAGACTAACGACGAAGTCATAAAAAGTATTATAATGAACATCCGTTGCTTCTTTTAACATTGGATTAAAAAAGGGCGTGGGGGAGACCTTGGGGGAGACCTAACATCCCAAAAAAACAACTGTCTTTCAGTCTTTCCAGCCTTGATTAAAATTTTACTTATTTTCTCCATGAAACTTTGAATTCTCTTTTTAAGAGTAAATATTTGGTTTAAGGCAAATAAAAAAAAAATAAATGAGAGAGAAAATTTATCGTTCCATTAAATTAAAATTTTAACCCAACATCTTATTTTAATTGGATAAAAAGTCTCTCTTCCCTTCTTCACTTCCCTCAAACTAAATATACCCAAAATTCTCATCTTCGTAAATGTTATACAACTCAAATACTTCCAACATAAAGAGTTCATTAAAAACAGTAATTTAGCATGCATACATATATTTATCTTCATATTCAAGTATTGGTCATTCTCTTCCTTCAATATTAAATTTGATTTGAGGGAAATAGAAAAAATAAGAGAGAAGATAGCCTTATTTCAACAAATAAAATTGTCATTAAATCAACAAAATAATTTGATTGATTATAATAATTTTTCATTCTCTCCCTTCTCAAACCAAACATACTATTAAAAGAAGAATTATTCACATACAATCATATTTTATTGTAAACTCATAATTAAAGAACAGTAATTATAATTTTTTTTTTTACCTGACAAGACACATAAATTAAATAGGTATTTAAATTGTAAGATTTTGTTTTGAAACTAATAAGATTGTATGCAAAAGAAATAGACTAATGGATGACATGTGAACAGGGTCCAATACCTGGCTTGGTGATCGCAATTGGCTGTATCCAACGCTTCGAATCTGACAGAGATTTAGTTTCATGAAACAATTAGATCATATTTCTACTCATATTAATTATATTTCCAATTCTAAACTATACTCTCGTAAAGACTTTACATTCCTTTTTATAGTTTTTGGATTAATTTACCTAGTAAATAATTTTGAGACAACCTTTTCATATAACTTTTTAGTACAATTTGACGTGTCATTTAAATGATTGACTTTTTTTATTTATGTGAAAGTTATAATATTAAATACATTCACTTATTTAATAATATATGAAAATTGTATCAAAATATAATATAAAAAAATTATCCCTGTTAGCACCGCCCAATGTACTCATACCATCAAATCTTTATGAAGGAGGAATCACAAGAAGAGGACAAATGATGAGGAAACTATTACAGTAGATAAGGAAATCACAACAAAGCAAGAAACCATGTTAAAGTACTGTCAAAGCAATCAAAGAATGTCCGAGGAGTAATAGGAGTGCAACGTTCAAAATATAGCACTCAATATTAGGTACCATTTTAGGATCTAAATGCAAATATATCTATAGATACATATACACATCAAATTATTGTACAGGGTTAATTGATTCAGCTTGAATACAATTAATTTCTTCAAATTCTTTTTGCTGTCAATGCACCGGGGGAAAGGCACCACGAAAGTGCACCAGGATTGCAAGTCAGCAAATTTCATACTACACTCTGCAAACTACAAATAGACCGGTGCAATTTTGTCAAAAGTGGCCACTAAATTTCACAAAGATGGCTAACTCTCAACTACACTTTACTTTTCATTTATTGCCTTTCGTTAGAATTTGCCTATAAATAGCCATGTTCTCACCATTGTACGTATGAAGTTCAATCAAAATTTCAGTTTATATTTCTCCTCTTTTGAGTGAGTCTTTTTGGGAGTGGATTCTCTCAATTTATCTCTATATCTTAAGTTTTTCCAACCTATGTGGTGAACCTAACAATCAAATTCATCGTAGTGGAATTCTAAATCTCGTCAAAATCAGTGTTTCGGTATTGACTCCTACGCCAGTCAATATTGCAATAAACAAAACAGTAGCAGCCACAAGCTTGTTATTTGAACAAAAAATGACCCCAAAAAAAAAAAAAAAACTATCATTGTCGAAATCACATGCTCTTCTCCTATTTAACCCCCTCCGTCCTCTTCATTCCCGCACCATTACCTTCATACAAATTCTATTACATTCTCTTCCCTTTTCCTCTCAAAAACTTAGTTTCCCTTCTTCCTTTAATCCCACATCGAGAAGAAAGTCTTCTTTTAAGATGTCTAATAATTGCTCCAATATCCCCAACATGTCCCAGACTTTTGGGCACGAGGAGTTCTTTTCCCGCCAGTGCATATGGACCAATGGCCCGGTCATCGTCGGGGCAGGTCCGTCGGGCCTCGCCGTGGCGGCTGGCCTCAAGAGGCAAGGTGTCCCATTTATAATCTTGGAACGGGCAAACTGCATTGCCTCTCTTTGGCAGAACCGTACCTATGACCGCCTTAAGCTCCACCTGCCTAGGCAATTCTGCCAGCTCCCTGACTTCCCCTTTCCGGTGGACTTTCCCGAATACCTCACCAAATACCAGTTCATTAGCTACCTTGAGTCCTACGCCAAACACTTCGACATCACCCCGCATTTCAATGAGACAGTGCAGTTCGCTAAGTACGATGAGACTTTCCACCTGTGGCGCGTCAAGACTGTCTCGACGAGCGGCTCTCTTCCGGTAGAAGTTGAGTATATTTGCCGGTGGCTCGTGGTGGCTACAGGGGAAAATGCAGAGAAGGTGGTACCGGAGTTTGAAGGCTTGGAGGAATTCGGCGGTCATGTTTCCCATGCTTGTGACTATAAATCCGGTCAAATTTACTCTGGAAAGCGAGTACTGGTGGTCGGATGTGGAAATTCTGGCATGGAACTCTCCCTTGACCTCTGCAACCACAATGCATGTCCTTCAATGGTGGTCCGAAGTTCTGTAGGTTACACAAACTCAAAAGTCATTCAATCCTTCAATGGGAGCTTTATTTTCCGCTAAACACTAACAGTGTTACTCTGTCAATAGGTTCATGTTTTGCCAAGAGAAGTGCTCGGAAAATCGACATTCGAACTGGTAATGCTGATGATGAAGTGGCTACCACTCTGGTTGGTGGACAAGATACTGCTGATTCTTGTACGTCTGATTCTCGGAAACATCGAGGAGTACGGTCTAAAGAGGCCGTCAACAGGACCTTTAGAGCTGAAATACACTGCCGGAAAAACCCCTGTCTTGGACATTGGAGCATTAGACAAAATCAGATCCGGCCAGATCAAGATTGTTCCTGGGATAAAGAGGTTTTCCAGAGGCAGAGTGGAGCTTGTTAATGGAGAAATCCTTGACATTGACACTGTCATTCTCGCAACTGGGTACCGCAGCAATGTTCCTTCATGGCTTAGGGTAAGAAGATGAAGAAGATTCTCTGTTTTTTATTTTAACAAATTTCTATGCTGGATTCTTTCATGTGACAGTTATGGACGTTGGGTCTATCTCAGATTCTCTCTCTTTATTACTGATTTTTCTTTAAATGTTATCACTGGTTAAGACATTGACATTTTTGGACATTTTTCAGAAAAATTCAAAACAAGGAGTCTGGTTGTTGAATGGTTTTGATTGTTTTGATTTTGTCTTATTCAAAAATTATTTGAGAAGCTTCTCTATTATGCATTTGTGTTTTTCTTCAAACTGGGATTTTTTTATTTTTTTTTTTTCGCTGTAGTTGTCAGGTTGTTATTTTCCCTTGTTTAGGAAAAATGAGATTTCTCAGGTCTAAATGAAGGAATGTTTGTATATGTCCAAACAGGAAAATGACTTCTTTTCCAAGGATGGGATTCCAAAGAATCCATTTCCAAACGGGTGGAAAGGGAATGCAGGGCTTTATGCAGTTGGGTTCACAAGGAGGGGGCTCTCTGGTGCATCAGTGGATGCAATCAGTGTGGCTCATGACATTGCTAAGGGCTGGAAAGAAGAAACAAAGCAGAAGAGGAAATCTGTGGCGGCCCGACATAGAAGATGCATATCACTTTTTTAATTTCACAACACTCTTCTAAATTTGATTATTGCTTCTTTTGTTTAATTTGAAGATAGAGAAGAATGTAAAAAAATAAAATATAAAAAATAGAGGAAGGAAATTGAGTAGCCCTCTTCTAAGGAAAACCCAAGATCTGGAAATTATTGGGTTTTTTTCCTTTTCTTTTTTCATTTTTGTGGAGAGGAAGATGAGGCTTATAAAATTTATTGCTTTCTGTTTTTGAACTTCATTTCTGTTTGTTTAATTGAATCTCCATCTTTCATATGGTCCACCTAGCTCAACTATTATTGCTAACTGATGGGCTAAATCCAGAACCTGGCCCACCAAATGGCCCGTTGAATATGGTGGGGTCCAGGTTCATGTATGCACATCATCACAAGTCTCTTCGAAGAAAAAGAAAGAGGCGATGCCTCCGGTGGGGATGGCAACGGATACTGCGGGGAGCGCGGTCTCCTCTCTATCCCCATCTCAGTTATTGACGGATACAAAATTTTAACGGAGATTTTTTGTAAAGGGTAAAAAGTGCCTTTATTTCTATACTCGTAGAAAATAAGGAGTCTTTGAGAATTCCCTATACCTATGAAAATATATTGTTATATATAAAAATAAATTGATTCATTTAATTTTTAGTTTGGAAAAAAAGTCCAAAAGCATTTTCAAAATAATAGTTATTTCTAAGTATTTGTTTAGAGAATGAATAAAATAAAATAAACTTTACCCAAAAAATTAATTAAGTAAATTAAATTCAAATTTTAAAAAACTCATTAAATAAAAAGGTGCAGTCGAGAGGGACTGAGGCAATAGAAAGGAGAGATGAAAGAATCAAAGTGTTTACGACTAAGATTTGTGAGTTTGAGAATTAAGATATTTAAATTTATTATAATTTATAAAAGTAAAATTTATAATTTTTTATTAATTTATGATTCCCCCAAGGATCCATGGGATTGGGATGAGAGAAACTCCTCACGAAATTTTATAAAGAAAATGACAAAATACCCAAATTCACCCCCGAAATTAGGCAACACAGATGGATTCATACAGGACAAAAAATGAGACAAATCAACTTATAAAGTTTTTGATTTGGACAAATAATCCATTATTTGACGTGCCACATCATTTGACATCATCATTTTGTTAACCGGCTATTAAGTCTGACATTTTAAACACCGTGAAATCTTTTTTAACACCTGGATACGTAGGTGGCCATTTTTGTTGAGTTGGACGACTACATGGCACTTACCTCATTTTTTTTTATCTCTATCTCATCTAGGTCTTATTTAAATGTCAAAATTACATCTCTTATCTAATTACAAATATACCCTTTCTTCTTCCTTTCCCTAATTTGCCTTTTTTCTTTCTAACCACAGTAGATCAGAAGCCAACAGCAACTATAGCATTTTTCTCGTTTCTCCCTTTCTCCTTTTCTACCCTTTCCATCATGTGAGGTTGGGGCCAAACAGAACCGAGATTAAAAGCCACAAGATATAATCATGCAACAAGCTTGAAGTGCCATAGAACAAAGAAAATTGAGATTTGTGTTCCTCTGTCATAAGGGCTTGAAGGAGTTGCAAATTTTGCAAGTTTGTTGTGCGATTTTAGGTATAATAGTGTTGAGATTAACTGATAAGAATTGAAATTGCAATTTTTGTTATAATAGAGGAAACCCAGATCTGGGTTTGCTATCCTCAAGGATTTTGTAGAACAAACCCACCATAATAGATCTAGTTCAAGATGCTCGACTCAGTATAATGGTGGGTTTGTTGCAATTTTCTGCGATATCCTTGAAGA